ATTTCCCTTGAAAGAACCTCACTTCTTTAAGCAACAAATCAATGTCCCCTTGTTTCCAGAGTGCTAATCGACGCTCTATTGCTTCACTATGCTCCTTGCTTTTGGAAGTAGCGGATGGTTTTTGCAAAATCAAAGTTGGGAGCACCATGAATGCTTTAAGAGCGACCGAGTTCAAGTCAGAGTCTGAATTAAATTGCTTAATCCAGAAGGTTAATTCTTCAATGAAACTCTTCCCTGGCGACCCGATGGAACATTGAATATATTCCTCCTGAAGTGGACGATTTCATCGTAAACATCGTTGACAGTATTACAGAAACATGCGTAACTAATACTGCCCCAAGTTTTGTTCTTTGTTTCGGAGGGAAGCACATCATAATCAGGCAGATTTGGCTTGATTTGATTTTTGGTGTTTTGATCCTTGCAAGTAGCGGTCCGTCCCTGGGGAGCTCTTTGATCAGCAATGTCGGAAGAAATATGCAAATTCGAACCTTCGACCACATTCACGTTTGATAAATTTTCACCTTCGCATTGCGCGGGTTCGAGACCCTCGGTTTGTGACAACATAGAGGCACCAACCTCTTCTGTTTCGTCTAGAACAGTTGAAGAGTCGCCTCTAACACTTATTTGTGAGTTTTCATCCGTTATTGCTGCTGCGTGGTCGCGAAGATTCTGAGCTGATAACCCCAAGTTCACGTATCCCACGTCATCCCATAGATCTTTCAAAATGCGCATATATCCTTTCTTGCGTCCGCTCTGGTAACATGGCGGGTTGCTTGAGCTTTTTAAGCTTAAGGCTTTTTCCCTGCATTCTAGTAAATCTTGATTCATCTTGTCAGTCCATTTTAGCCTTCCTGGTTTTCAAGCGAGCGACCGACCTGCAGCCGCCGCCTCCGCCATACTTTACTTTATAATAATATAATAATAATAATCATCATCATCATCATCATAATAATAATGATGGCTTTATCACGCATTTCTAGTAGGTGGCTCTTCATCATCTAACCCTAACCCTAACCTTCTCAGAATTACAGATTATTGATTTATTGCTCCCCTTAAATTTTGATTTGTATGAAATCAGGAAGTTTTGGCGTTGCTTTCGTTCCTGTTGGCCGCCGGCCGGAGAAACCAAGAGAATCAATGGGAAGCGCTGCGATGCCAGAGCTTCCATTCAAGCTCAGATACCGTGAAAGGAATACCGTAAACTGCCTCTAATAACCACCCCCCCCCCCTTTGTTATTCAGTCTTTTTAAATATCATGATATTTTTCTATTTTCTTTCAGTTTAGGCATTGCTAATCAAGAGAAACGTTCCTTGGCCCAACGTTGTGAGTTATTGAAGAACAAATTTAAGAAAAGCTCTCAGGAAAAAGATTTGGTTTGTGAGGTTGCAGAGAAAGACAAAGCTGTTCTTTCTAAGAAAATCAAGGCACTTAAAACCAAATGCATTAAAAGAAAAAAGATCATTCAGGTAAAAGAATGAAAACGTAATATATTTAATTAAAAAAATAAATATAGCTTCATTTGTGACTGTAAATGAAGAAGCCCTGTTAACGTAGCTATAGAAGACTGCAAGTTAGTCAGATTAGTTAGCTCTACTCAGTCGGTAGGCTGGCAGTCTAAGAGCCTTTAAAAACTTGTTAAAAAGAGTTGACCAAACATGGATAGCATTCGAAATGTACTACAAGAAAGTAAACATTTGATATTTGTGGCAATCTTTGAGGCAATTTTTGATGTGGTAACTTTTCTTTGAATTGTCAGAGATGAAGGATAAAGGTACTCGAGCATGCATTTTATTGTAAATGGGTAATTGACCGATGAGGGCCTCCCAGGGGGAGGTACATGTTCCCTTGTTCCCTAGAAAAAATTGGAGTTTTTCCCTTGTTCCCCAAAAATAAATTAAGATGTTCCCTGAAATTCACTTTCATCAAGTTCCCCTGTTCCCAGAAATTCTGTTGCATGTTCCCTTGATCCCCAGGAATATTAATTAATGTTCCCCAGAATTTCAATCATATTTCAGCTTTCGATGGTCAGTATTTTCATAAGTTTTACTTCGTTAGTCATAGTAGAGATAATCCTCAGCAAAACGCCTCTTTCGTCTCCTTGATGAATGCCGCATCACTGAAAACACTGAAATATTACTGAACTGCACTAACCAGTAATGAATAATTGAAGACATTTTTTTGGTATCATAGTGCTACATTGTGTCTCGATTTTCAGTTCCACAAAATATTAAAATAAATACTTCTCATTTTAAAAGTGATATTTTCTCATTCATCTTATTGGATGGTTGTCTGAGAAATCAGGTTAACCTGTACAGTAGTATGAATAAAGTCAAGAAAGTCTCACTTGGAGATATTTTTATGTACGCTCATAAGTGTAGCATTGAAAAATCAGAGCATGACTTACCTATCATCTCCCTTTGATGACTAATAATCTGTGGTAAAGCAGTCTCCCACTGTTCTTGCGTGTCAATTTGAAAAATTCGTCCTTTAGGCCACTCAGGTAGTTTTGGCCGAAAGTCTTTTGAAGACAGCTGAATTTTGAACTTAACGATTTTTAGCATTGCACATTTCTCCTTGATGCCAAATCCTTTCTGCAAGCGGCTTAAAACTGACGTAAAATCTTTATCTGAAACAGTCCTCATACCGAGTTCAAAACACCATCTTTCTGTGGGCTTTTCATTTCCATTGTGATAAATTGCACCGGTAACCGGTACAATTACCGTTGTGTCTGATATATCCGCAGATTGAGCTTGAATTCCTTCTGTTTCCGTTGCCATTTATTAATAAATGGTTAGCGTTTCTAGACATGGAACACCAAAGAGAAAATTACCATAAAAATGGCGGTCCACCCGACGGAGTCTCTCCCAAGGTTCCCACGCGTTCTAAACTCGTCCCCAGTCGTCACCAGTTCACTTGTGAAGATTAGTCGCCAGGCTTAGTCGTCGGAAATGCGTGAAATTACAGAAACGTCGGAAATGTCTTCATCAACAGTTAATGGAAATCTCTCCAAAAGTTAGAAAATGGTCGAAAGTCAATGTTCCCTTGTTCCCGAATATCCCTCAACAGTTCCCTTGTTCCCTAAAAGTTATTTTGAAATATCCCTTGTTTCCTAAAAGTAAATGGCGATGTTCCCTTGTTCGCTAAAACCCCTGGGAGGCCCTCACCGATCAGAGCGCTCGCTTTACCATATGAAATTAACTTAAACTTACTTGTTCTTTGCATGAGGGTAACAGCGATGTACGAACCTCGCTCCTGATCTTAACTCATTCCTTCTCGTATGTTTCATTCTTTAGACTGAGAAGGCAGCAAAGACTGAATTGCTAGAGTGAGTAACTCGACTTGTCAACTTTTTAGTTGTCACTAAATACGGTCAACAGAAATTTCAGAAAATTTTATGTCACGAAGTGGGATAATTTGGACCTTAAATTTGAGCTAAGAGTGCATGTTTTAAAAGAAAACTCTTTTGCTATAGTCTAGAGGGCATCCACGCTACAAATCGGCCACTTGTGGCTTTTTCTAAAACGTTTTCTGTATCTATTAGAAAATCAACGTTTTACGACTAAAATTCCAGAAGTGGGAGATCGATTATGATGATTGTAGTACTCTGCAGGCATATACCACACCGGTGACGACGGCCTGTTGGAGTCGTTAATAGAAAGATATAGGATTTCACCGATGATCTCTGGTGAAAACAGCCTTTCGATTCCACTTACAACTCCGTCGATCACAGTATGGCTTAAGCCAGTTTGTCGGAGTGGTGAGCAAAGTCGGAAGAACTAAATCAATCACAACATAAAGGAACTAAAATTTTTGCATGATTGATTTATTTTTCCGTTTGCTGACAAACCCTCACACAAACGAAGAAGAAAAAGAAGAACGAAGATTTAAGAAGTGTTGATGTTTTTTTTTTTCATAAATAGGCTAATTTTCGAGGACATAACTAGCTCTAAAATCCAAAATTCTTACATGTATTTTATTCGTACACAAAATTAAAGGTTGCCCGCAACTCGGATCCCAGGTATGTAAGTTTGACGGTTAGGGGTCTGGGTGCAAAATGTTTCAAGACTAGTCAAGTCCAAGGGTAACACGTGGGAAATAATGTTATTTAGTTTTTTAATGTTTAACTTCTACCCTTTTTTAGAAATAATGCGAATCTCAGGAGAGAATTAGCGGCATTTAAGAAGCAAAACGTTCTCCTCATGCAAGAAGTTGAATTCCTCAAAGAACAGGTGGGTAAATAAAAATTTTATACTTGTTTTTAATTCTTTTTTCGAAAGATTTTCTTCCGGAGAATTTCCCAGTTTAACAATAGGGAGCTTCAGCAACGACGACGGCAACGGCAGCAAGAACGGCAAAAAAGCAATGGACCACGCTGTTTAGATTGGCAAAACAACAACTTTGCACGCTTATCACCCTTTTCTTTGTACATTTTTTTGCCGTCGTTGCACGACTACAACGTCAAAGTGCCTAAATCCTCGTTTTCTCGAGGACAGTAACACAAGACAACAATTTTTTTTTCTTTTCCTGAACTTTGATACAGTCCTTTAGAATTCAACTCCAAAGACTTTTGTCATCATTTGACGAGATGGAATAAGCGCGATAAAGTTTGAAGCAGCGCCAAGAAATGGTTGATTACGGTTTTTGAATTATTGATTGAAATTGTTCTTTATCTTTCAGAATTACCATCTGCGATACTATGGAGGAGTAGCTGGAAAATTCCGAAGAATGAAACGCTTTATCGTAAATACTTTTCAACGATTTTCATCATAAACTTACAAGCTATATTTTGGATAGGGTGTAGCTAGGAGGGAGGGAGGAGGGGGTGAAGAGGGAAAAATATTCTTGTGACTGAAACCTCAGTTAAATCTGCTGAGAAAAATGGCGATTACTGATCTGTTTAAAAAACTCCTATTTAACAATAACTGGATTAGATCCTGTGTAACGATTGTCATCATAACTTAGAAGCTCTGTTTGGGACAGGGTGGTGGAGAGCAATAGGGAAAAGATGCTCATGTGACGGAAAACTTTCTTTAGATACATCTGCGGGAATGAATGACAATAATTGATCTGTCTTATGTTTATCAATAACTTATGTAGATAAGTTGTCAAAAGGGACTAGGTCACGGTATTCTCGAGAACTGCACATGCGCACATTCTTAAACTTCAAATCCATAAATGAAACTCCCAACTGTTTTATCTTGATCTTCACCCTGTCTTGGCCGCGCGAGAGCTGGGTTTGAGATTAAGAAACTCTATTTCCGGATAAAATCGTCATCAGATACCTCTTGAAATACATTAACCACGCCTTCAGCGTTTAAGTCCCTATAGAGATGATGGGTATTATCTGATGCACATTCCCAATAACTTTCTTCCGTTTTGATCACCATTCTTTAGCTTTACTGCATTACTCTGGTGTTGTACAATAATGTAATACAGTTATCGTTATGGGGAGTGCTGAAATTGTCAGAAATAGCGTGACCTGGTCCCTTTAAATAGTACAAAAACAAAACAAAACAAAACAACAAACTGAAACAAAAAAAAAATATAAGAACAAACTACACAGTGAAAAAATAAAAACCAAAAAAACTCAAGAAAAAAATAAAAAAAGGACCAGAAAAATATGAAATAATATATATATTTTTATCACGCGTTTTGTAAAACTAATTCTATAGGGTATTCACAGAACGCGTGATATCATCACTTTGCAAAAACTTGTTTTTACGTATATAGTAAGGAGTTGGAGGGAGTACCGTCATGGCAGTAGCTGTACTTTCAAAATGGAGATTGAGACAAAAGCTTTGTATTGAAGAAGCCTTTAAAGTGCATTCTTTTTCTTTTAAATTATTACTCGATGCACATCCGTTTTGGTTTTCTTTCGTTTTGATCATCCTTATTTATATTTACTTTACTTCTCTGGTGTTCTACAAAGTCATGATTTTATTTTAGTATTATCCTTTGGGAAGCCTAGCCTGGTACTTCAAATAATTAGTACTCGAAAATGTGGTTTTTGAAAAAGAGCAACTATCTAAGAAATAAAACTGAAGAAATCAATTAAATAGTACCAAAAAATATATAAAAAAATTACTACGAAACAAAACAAAACAACCACACCAAAAACAAACAAACAACAAAATAAAACATAAAAAAATATTATTAAAAAAAAACAAAACAGAAACAAATAAACACAAAACAAAACAAAAAGAATAAAAAAATAAATAACAACAGAAAAAATTAAGTTTAACTAGCTGTGGTTTTGATTCATTGTATACGCCAATAACACTTCGGGTAACCATGATATAATCAAGTTGTAAAAACTCGCTTGAGAGACAAAAATGGACAAGCACCTCATTCATCACTGATTTTCTGCTTCCTATTGAACATTTAGTTCTAATTAGGCAATACAAAACGTTTGTCTCAATCACCGTTCTGAAAGTCCAGCTATGACCCCTGACACTATTTCCATCTAATTCCTTACGAAGTACATTACGCTTTTGTTTTCTTCCGTCTTAATCATCCTTTTTTAGCTTTACTATATTTCGCCAAAACAGTCAAAACTCTAGATTTACCTGTTCCTCAGTACTAAAGGCCCAAGTAGATTTAAAAAAAAGACAACTACAACGAACAAGAAAAATTAAATAAAAAAAAGACCTTTATCTAAAAGACAACAACAACAAAAAAAAAAACAAAAGAAAATAAAGAAAAATAAAGACACATAAAAGAACATAAAACGAAAACTGAAAACCAACAAAAAACAAAACAAAACAAAACGAAAGAAAAACAAAAGAAAAAAATAAGAACAAATCGTTGTAGAATAAAATCAAATATAACAAACTTTTTTTTACTACTTGGATAGACTAAAGCCTCATCCACACATATCCGGATATTTTTCTTCGTTTGTAGAAAAAGTACGCGTCCACACGTAGCGTATTTTCATCGTTTTAACCCGTCCACAGAAAAACACTAAAACGAAAGAAATGCGATCGAAAAAGTTACAGGGCATGTCCTGTATAAGATCTGTATGAGATCATCCACGAAAACGATAAGCCTGCGTTTTCAAATATGTCTACTTTAGAGAGCATTTTGAAAAGATGCGTTTTTTTCGGTGACCGTTTTTACTAGATACGTGCATGTGGACGTACGGTAGACCAAACCGGAGAAAAATAATCTCTGTCTTTAAAAAATAAACAAACAAACAAAACAAAAAATCGGAAATGTGCGGACGGGGCTAATACTAGTTCGGACGATATTATCACGTTGTAAAAATTTGCCCATAGTGTCATAAGGAGTTGTGTCAGATTAAAAAGATGTTATGGAGTATGGATTGGTGTTGTGTGTTTCTAGTTTTACCTCTTTTAATAAGACGATTGAACGTTCTCGTCAGTGTTGATCGTAAAAAGGCTGAACAACACTGTATATTATAACGATTTTCTCAAATATTTTTCCTACATTAGTTGTACAGCTGCTGCCTTAAACAGCTGGCTTCACTAACCGTTAAAGTACGTTTTAGTACTAAAAAAATTCGACGTTAGAGTTAAATTCTTACTGTCAATTTTTTAGGACTAAAACTAACCTAAAATGACAATGGGTGGAAGGAGGATTGTAGTGGATGTCATGATAGGCTATTAAAATTTCACGAAACTGGAAAAAGGTCAAAAAGCCCTCTTCTGTAAATCAGTGCGTCAACATGTAGAGCACGAATGCTGTCAATCTTTTATAGCTCACTGATTTGCTATTACGAGATTTGCCTGAGGACTTCTTAAGGCTTCGTTTCCTATATAATTGTCCAGATCGTGCTCAACGAACAATCTGCGACAAAATTGATAATATGCTATCTTCAAATGTTTTCCAATGGCCATGGGGTACTTCGGAGAACAATGCAAACTACACCCCTCGCTTTACCTTGGTGTTTTCTTCAGATTAACTCGCTCAAATAGCGGCACAACATTGCTTCGAGGGGTGGGACAGTAAGAGCTTCATTTTCCCTTTTAAGGTCAGCTAAAAACGACAGAAAAGTCCTTTAAAGCAAAGTGTCTCAGCTAATTTTGTCCCCGATTGAATCTTAAAATGTCATAATTATCTGCTGCTGTTTTGCTTGATTCGCAGCCACGTGACAAGGCCACCATGGTGGTGGTCAATACAATAAACAATGTTTTGAAGAATTTTCATGAAATCAATATTGCTTTTAGTTCCCAGAAGAGACAAACAATTCTGTTTGTGATATTCACCAACACGGCCGGCGTGACCTCACTTCAAACCAGCAATGCAATTTCGTTTGAATATTAGCTGTATCATATATAGTTCTTTTAAGAACTATGATGTAGCTACAATTTTTTCATTGCCCAAAACTTAAGCTACGTGCAAACAGACGAACGCACCTAACAATTTGACCAGTTTCAAAGCTAAGCCGAAGACCGATCATTTTTTAAGCTGAGAAAACACCAAAGCAATTCATCTCAAGATGGGACTGTTACCTAGCCAAAAAATAAATTATAGGTACAAAACTCGAACTCAGATCGCCTCATCTACATACTTACCGGATATCAGTAGATCTCGTTGCTTTATCTATATGTAAATGAGTAGAGTAGGCCCGAGTGTTGTTCCTGCCCAATAAATTGGCTAAATAAGTAAAAAAAAAATTCTTTCCAATTTGCAATTCGCCGTAAAAATCATCAATGCTTATCGCGTCGTGTCGCAATGCAGTTAGATTTAGCGAAACTCTCCTCGAGCAAATTTCTTTCCTTTGATAGAGCCGTACTGCGTGGGAATCGACACTAAAGGTAGACGCTTATATTCAGTTGCACAATGTATTTGTAGAACTTTATTTGCATATAATGCATAATTTAGCAAGCCCAGTGAATTTTTGAAGCATAGCATGTGTTTTTTTTCACCGGTTAAAAATTCCCGCGCTTCACATTTGCGCCAGCACGAAAACCATGGAATGTGGGGTATTGATCTTTTAGGGAAGACAATTGACTGTCTTTTTTTAGAATGGTAACTTCTGTTTGATATGATTATTAAAGTTACATGTTGATAAATTCAGTAATAAAATAAACATTTTTTTACTCACTATAAAAATAGATCGATCGTCGCAAAGGATAATATATAAAAGGAACAGAGAACCTGCGAAGTGTATTTGTTTGTCAGTCAGTAGACCCATGACACACTCAGAGCTCTTGGTGATTTAAGCAATTTCATTGGTTCGCTATCTCGGACTTTTTAACGATATTCATCTCCTAGCGAGTGAATAGTGTGAGAACAATCTTTTAAAAGTCGACAAAATCCTAGGGTTGACTTTTTTTAACGCAAGAAAAGACTTCGAAGAATTCAAAACGGCGTTTTTCCTTCTACTGTAGCGACAGTTTTTGCTCGATGGATTGCTTACAACTCCAGTTTATTCACATAGTTTAGGCCGTTTCGTGAACTCAGCGTTTCCTAAGAAGAAAAATTTGGCCCATAAATCGAAGTCCATTTGTGACAAAGAAAACTGAAAGCAAATATTCGCAGAAATTCTACGTTTCAAGTAAATAGAACAAAGAATGCTTCAGGAAAACGACGCCTTACCTCTAGCAACCAAGCCGCTATGTAAGCACCTCATGCGAAGAACGACACGACAAACAATGCATTTTGGCCAGAAACTTGGCGAGTTAACAGAAAATAACAAAGCTCTACTTTTCCTTTCAGGTAAGGAAACAATTCAGTCTTTTAACGGTTCCATTAAAGCCGTTACGCTGTTGTTTGCGAAGTGATTAACTTGTGAATTGCCATATTTGCAAATTCTTCAAAGATCTAACTTTCGCATAATTTGATTCGTCAATCAAATCGTACTTTTTAATGGTTTCCTCTCTGATTTTGTCGAGATCTCTTCATGTGTATATACCAAAACAATTATTCTTTTCAATCTCGGTGAATACGTAGTGGCGTTAGAAATGTTTGCCTCTCCGCTTCGCGGCTCTGTAAATATTGAGTCACTATTCACGAAAAAAGTACCTTATTTTAACTTTACCATTCTAATTGCTTCTTTCTCCGAGGCGTTGCAGAGCTACGTTACGTTACGCTCCGTCTTAGATCATGCTACGTTGAGCGAAGAGCAATAACCTTTATATTTATATTTCTCTTAATGTTCAAAACCTATAACAAACTCTGACGCACTGTTTCATGCGATATGCAGACGGTTAAAATATGCAGCAGTGCGCCTCTCGTTTTCTCGAACAGCTTTTCCGCGTCTGAATAACATCTTGGCTCTTATTTTTTGTTACACCAAGTCAGTGAACTTGAATTTAAAAGCGTTATGCTTAAACTGCCTGATTTTATAGACCTCTTTCATAATGGCAGCCTATTTATATATTGTTTTATATGCATGATAATTAGCCTTTCTGACCTTGTTAGCATGTGCAAAATACAAAAGAATCCTTACTTTCAAACGAGGTCAGAAAGGCTTATTATCATACATATGAAGAATTTATCGATACGCCGCCATTATAAAAGAGGTCTATAAGTGCAGTCCCATTCGAAGATCACTTTTAGTGAGGGCTTGCAGAATACAAGCTTAGATACGAAATTTAAAAGAGCTTTCAATAACACTGAGGTCCATCTGAACGTATTGAGAGCAGCTATCGCCTTATTTATTCTTGAGTTAAAGTTCTTCTTCGGACGTCCATTTCTGAAGAAGTTCCAGCCAGTTAAAGGCCTTGCAGGCGAGTGTGTACAGCCATGTAATGTAACCCATCAACGCCACGGTCAGGATTTCAAGTAAGCCCTTTCTTGTTAGTGGCATTACCTTGGAAGCAGAGCAACATTGACAAGCAAGTCAACTTTCAAATTATTCTATTACGAACGAGGAAAAAGGGGTAGGCGACTTACCAATTATAGGTTAAAATCTGTGGTGAAATAAAATTAAGTATGATGAGTCATTAGTAACTTGTGACAATAGGAGAGCCGTATGTCTTTTCTTTTCAAGCTGCCGCCCAGCTCAGTTATAGCCTAGACTGAGCAGTCTCAGTGTTTAAACCACGGGTTTAAAAACTGAGACAGTGTTTCATATGTTTTTAAGATCTTTACCAAAAACACCATCAAAGCTCCATGTGTATGGAAAGATTTGGTGACTCATTTCAAACAAGAATTCGAAAAAGCGACAAGTAATTGAAAGAATGGAATGGGATGGAATGGGTTAATGGGATGACTGAACTGAATGACATAGTAAAATATATGTAATCTCTATGGCTAGGACAAAGCAGTGTAATGCAAGTCAATGCCTTTTACATACCGCAGGTGGAATGGCTAGATGTTGCTTCCTGAAATTAAAGTGAAGATGTTTGAAGTAAAGAATGTCATAGCGATTTTGTGTATTACTGACATCAACATAAACTTCTTTCACACTGGGTTGTAACAAAGCCAAAGAAACGTGATCGTGTGATGTACGTGACTGACTTAGGAATGTACGACAGGAAACAATTCTATTTGATTAGATGAACTGTTCTTGTTCATTATATTTTGTATCATGAAATGGCGCTGTTTTCAAAATATTACGAGACTGGTGATAGCTTTTCAGTTTTCCACAATTAAGGATAAATACAAGAAGTGTTCAAGTGAAATAGCTTGATTTCTTTTGTCATAGCTCTTGGAAGTTTGTCCATCTTCACTATCATGGTAATTTCTTACCTTGGCGTCTTGAAGATGGTTTTCGCGGTCTTTTCGCCAAATATCCTCCAGGTAACTTCCACTGGCAGAAAAATACGAAGAGTGCCTTTGGTTACTACCTATATCATATTCAAGCCATTGAGAGGCGCTTCTTTCGTTATGTGGCGCCGACTGATTACGCATATATTTTCTGTCAGTGTTAGATTGGAGGGATGTCAAGGACTGACGCATCTCTTTACCAATCCGCATAATGTCCTGTTTGAGGTGACCAAGTGACATGTTCTCAACGTTATCTACTATGCTCAGGGATGTAGCTTTTAATAAAGGATACCCTTCGCTTTCGTTATCAACTCCATCGTTGTCCTCTAAAGGTTCCAGCTTTGCGTCTTCCAGGTCACTGTCGTGCCTATTTTGTTCGTCTTTCTGAAAGAATCTTATCAAGCTATACACCATATATTCCACCAATTCTAAGGTATCATCCTTGAGCTTTTGTATCTTTTGACTGACGTAGTCCATAATAAATTGTCCAAGTCCGGCATCAGCAAAGACCTCTCCCGGGTCAATGTTCTTGACTTCTTTATAGGAGTCATTCAAGATAGCAAGGAACATGTTCAAAAGAACCATCGCCATGGAAGACAGATAACCAAATAGGAACACCGGCGTGATGTATCTACTCGTCGACTGCAGCTCTTGGAAATGCATTTCACCTCCAAATAAAAGGAGCAACATCGCTAGTAGGGAGCTATAGAAGGAGCTGTAAGCTTTGACTTCTGACGAAAACACAACAAAACCAACTTGGGTGTAAGCTAGCATGATTATAACAAAAACTGTCATGAAGGAGAAAACCTTCGTTGCTACTCGTTGCATTGTCCCTATCACCTGGCAAACGTGGCGGTTGAATTTAATGAGTCGAAGAAACTTGATCGTGACAATGAAAATCACGAGGGAGAGGAGATAGGTTTCTAAATCGGACATAAACTCAATGTTGTCGGTGCTTGAAGTCTTGAAGGGATTTTCCTGAATTTTTTTCACAAACTGGCTTGTTTGTGATTCCTTTAAGAAGAAAAAGACAAGAGCACAAATAGTGCTGGAAATTTGAAAAAGCTCTAACCAGTTCCAAAGCCCCGTGAAGTAAGAGCATTTCTCTCGACGAAACTTTCCAAACTCGGCAAATATAAATACGATGAGAATAATCATCAACAGGAGCTGACAAATCTGGAAAAGTGATCTAGAGTTTGGATCTGGTGAAGCGTATAGTGAGAGGGTCTTGATATTTACCAATGCTTGTGATCCACCGGTAGGTGATCGCTCAAACAGAAGTTTTATCGCAGAAAAAAGTGAGCTTGACGGCTCAAAAACTGTGAACTCGACGAAAACGGCCGCTGTTCGGCTGTCTATCCATCTGTTCTCTTCTAATACTTTGATAACATTTATTGCTGAAAGGGAATTGTATCCAAGCTCCGCAACGTATCCTCCACCATCAAACATGGCCATGACACCCTTGAATGGTCTAATTTGAAGACTTTCCCTTGTTTGGTATCTCCAAGGCCTTGGACACTCACGTTCAAGCTCAAAGCTGGAGAAGAAGATGGTGGAGTTTTGAATTGTTTCCCACCCTGGTTTGTTATATGGTGATGTACTCTCCACTTCACTTGTATAAAACGGAAGACATTTGGGGAACTTCCTTGCTAAATCTGGTTCATTCTTTGCAATCGTGCAACTTTCTTCTGTGGATAGAAATAACGATAAAGGAGTTTAAGCGACGATGTATCTGACGTGTCTTTAGACACATCTACATCTACATTAATTTTCGTCGGTAAGATCGTTAGACATCACACCAACGTCACCATCACTTTTAAGTAAGCCCTCTCAAAAAGTCTTCTTTAGCCTTAATTTTGCATTGTCTTCCTTACTACTATGTCTTGTCTTTAAGCTGTTCACATTGTGGGTTGTTGTTCCCAGACTGTTGTACAGCTGGTGAGCGACTAATGAATCCGGAACCAACTGCTGAATTGCACACATTTTTGGCGCCCTATGGATGAACAGTTACAATATACAGATCTTTCCACCAACGACAATTTGAAAACTGTACCTAAGGAATTGCTGTCAATGTATGTTATGTCAGGCATTAATTTTCCTGCTTCAGGGCACTGAATATATGAAGAGAGAAATATCAATGCAGGTTGTACATATTCCTACCGCCATAACCCCTTGTGACCTGTTTTAAAACCTTACGTTTCTTCCTAATTAGACCGTTCAAGGGCTTCAGTTGGTTGTCCCAAGATAAAATAAAACCAAGTGCGAAAAGAGAAATAGTGAAAGCTGAGGGCGAGAGAAACCGAGTAGCTCGTTACTTTTTCTTCTATTTTCTGTGCCGCCTTTACCACCACAGTTGGCATAACAGGCTAACCCGAACCCCATCAACTCCAATTATAACAATGACATGCGAAATCAGAAGAGACAAAAGCCTTGACTGAACTTCTTTCGTCACTATTTCTTCGGTCGAGACAAGTATGAAAATACCAAATTTAATGAAGCAAGAGCTACTTAATGGAGTGACGTCATTCACTTACCCGTTTTGATTCTTAACTGTCGTATTCTTGGCATTCCTACTAAGAACGCTGCCCGATTACTGAGAAACCCTTCCTCGTACTTGAATGCTTGACCATTGTACCAGTCAGCATCGTATAGTCTGGGTATCAGAATTTTCTTTGACCATTTCCAAAACGAAGAAATATTTTTCACCTACAAGGTAAAACAGACCTATTTGAAATATGTGGGAAAAAGTGGGAATCTAAGACGATTATTATTTGTAGACCAAAAAAACCAAGTGGTAATGACAGCCAACATGCCAGATCATGTTTATTGTATATTGTGACAGATGTGTATGTTGGCAAACCTTGTTTCATGAACAAAAAAGAGGAATTAGTTATAGTGCAGCTCTCTCGCTCGCAGTGGTGCAACAAGGGTCATAAAATTTGGTTATCTATGCATCCAAGAAATTTGGGCTCTGACAAAATGTCATATTTAATACTAGCTAAAAAGTCTAAGGCATATTCAAATTGTGTTTTACTTGATATTAGACGTCCATGCATCTTATGATCAATTGACAGCTGTCAAAACAGTGTATCGGCTGACCAGTATTAAGACTGTATTGCGGGCTCATGTTTACAACCCATTGACATTAGACATGGAGTGTTTTTAAAAGTTTCGCGCTGAATAGTTACGGAATGTTAGTGATCGCATGCTCAGAACACTTTACTCTCGACAGGTATTTCTTAAAAGCTTCCACGAGAGCTTTGCCTTTAGCCTTGGCTAAATCTATATATTAGACATATGGGAGGAAACAGAGAAGAAAGGCCCCAGGTAAACCTCGCGGTGGGTAGAACGGTGACTAGGAGTTTCGGAGCCCTTTCTTGCGCTTGAAATTTCCGATACCAGGTCATTAATAAGTCCAGAATTTGGGGTTACTTTTTTTTTAAATAAAAGACCGTGATGCAGCCTTGGTTGAGGGTTAATCATTGAGTAGCAAAAGTGTTGCCATTTTTATGTCAATTGTAGTAGTTTGTTTATTACAGGACTTTTTGGGCTGTTCGATTTTTCCTATGTCTGATTTTAACTCCTTGGGGATATAAGAATTTGGCCTCATTGACTCTCCCCATCACTGTTATAATGAATGCACCTCCAGGACTCCCATAGCAAGGTAAAAAATCTATCAGAAAAACGTTTGATTAACCAACCAATCAAATTTTGACCAACCCAGTTTTCTTTCTCAGACAGCTAGGGTATGTCCCACAAAGTCATAAAAATATCGGATTTTTCGAGTCAGTAGCAACCTAAAGAAATTAAAATCCAGTAGCTACAGAAAAACACTTTAAGTACATCTTACCTTTGTAAAAGAATGAAACAAATTGTCCATAGATTGGGTGAGTGTAAATCTTGCCACTCCTCGGTTGCTATAGCAAACCACCATCATGAGAAAAATAAATGAGCCAAAAAGTACAAATTCCACCACCTTGCGACCCAATTGAACAAGACTACTCCTAAATTTGCGAGCTCTCTCCCGCTCTTTTTGATCGAGAATCACGACACCTCCTGTTTGTTTCCCTGATATAGACTCCCCCAGGACTTTTTCCTGCTCCGGTGGTTTTTTGATTAATAAGGATAAGATTGAAGCTACCACAAGGACTTTCATTGGCTGCATCACAATCACGTCTTGGAAGAAGGACACCATAACAGAAACAAGCCATTCATTCGAGGTCTCTGCTCCCCACATCATACTGTAAAACACAATAAATGCTGCCGCGGTCAAAGAAGCCATAGTGCAGATAAACCAAGCAACAAACACAAACCAATGTGGCAAGCATCCCTTGCTTTTTATCCCTTCATCTTCCCGCGATTCTCGCGGTTTTAAGTTTCTGAAGATTGAAACAACCAAAACGTTAACCGGAATAGCGACTAGGCTGCTCTGGATTCCAATTTTTATTTGCGTCAGGCTGACCTTAAGCGGTCCTATCTGTACCGCGTCACCAGGTGGGGTTCCGAAATTGTAAAACATGGCATTGGTCACCATTGCTGCAAATAAGATTGAGACACAACATGCTAGTCTCTGAGCTCTTGTAAAAGGATTATGGGGTGGCCTAGTAAAAACTGACAACCAAAGATGGCGATCCCCTAGACTAGTTGCTGTTCTGGAGTAGAATAAGTTCTTAAATCCTGACAACTCCTTTTTGCCTGCTACTGGTAGCTCTAGTTCTAAGTTTCCGTCCTCCTTCTCTACTGCAATCCACCTAGAAGATAAGGAAAGGAAGACGGAGGACGTTAATGTTAATCTGGAGAAATTTTCAACCCTCCCAAACGGACAGTGTGCATTGACTTCGAAGGAGCAGTGTTACCGTTTTTTATGACACTTTTAACACACTGATCAGGAAGTATTCGTAACAGAGTACAACCAAGCAAAAGTAAGGAACTTGGTTGAAATGAGTCCAGTCAAGGCATGATTTAAAAGAGGAAGTTGTTGGGAAANACGGAGGACGTTAATGTTAATCTGGAGAAATTTTCAACCCTCCCAAACGGACAGTGTGCATTGACTTCGAAGGAGCAGTGTTACCGTTTTTTATGACACTTTTAACACACTGATCAGGAAGTATTCGTAACAGAGTACAACCAAGCAAAAGTAAGGAACTTGGTTGAAATGAGTCCAGTCAAGGCATGATTTAAAAGAGGAAGTTGTTGGGAAACTTCTTCTTAATGTACATTGTAATCCCCAGCCCAATGACTTAATTCTTCCCGGCGAACAAACTAATTACCTTTTTATGCCTGCTACCTAGTTTCTTGTTTTCGATACTAAATAGCTCCAATTCATTTCACTTATTTTTTTCAAGCTGATTATGCCTGAAGACATCACGTACTTTTCTCAACCAAGATCAGTATAAAAAATAAAAAGGTTCTGGATGAGAGAACGTTCTTGGTGGGACGCCTTTGTTGAGCAATTGGGGCTCTGGAGATGTATAGAAAGATTTTTTTAAATGAGTCAAGGCTCTCTGTACCACACCTGTCTCAAACACGTACGGATACAATTCTTCAAAAACACCCACACCAATTGTACCATTGGTGCTTTAAGCGTTACGTTGGAGCAAGAGGCATCGCATGAATGTTTCTCATTCTATGAGCAGTACGCCCAGAACAATAACGATCACAAAAAACGTCAAGACCAATTATATCATTGGTAGCAATGGGCAGATGAAATCCCCCCGTACCCATCCGAGAAACATGAGGAATTATACCAAGTGCCCTTAATGAGGTGCATTTCAAGAATACAATTAATGGATCCACATCCTTTTCTATTGGTACCAATTGCACCATTGGTGGCAATAGACCATTTGGGACCACCAGTATCCAACCGATATAAACGAGGGTAAATATTTTCAATCCTGTCAATGAGATACATATCACATATACCCAATGGAATCACACGTATTTCTGTTGTACCCATACCAAATTGTTAATCTGTATCATCCTATCCCTATGCAGTTTGTTGAATGGCCACATTTCTATCAGCCACACATTGTGACGTCAGCCCTTCAAAGCTCGAGAATTAAACTAAAAGGCAGTATTCAGACGCTTCAGGATTCCCGATTCTTGACTACTGAATGACAAAATTATCTTGTGATCCGTGTAGAAGCAATTTTACATCAAATACCTGTTAGCAACAAAATGCGCCTTTTCACCTGTGGCGAGATCTGTGACGACAACCTGCATGAGAAACCAAGACGGACGTCTTCCACTATTATCGTGCCAGATGCGAATCTTATTTAAACAGCCAATTGTCTCTCTTAGGCAGAGCGTGAAATTGTTGATGCTTCCTCGAGAAAAGAAGAATCGTTCAAGCTGAGGGTCGGTAAGAGGCACGTTACCTGTACTTCCATTATTACCACATATGGCTATGCCAACATTCGCCGTCGTTCCATTGCCTCGCCACATTCCCGTTTGAATTGAGAGATGATACCTGACGTCTCCTTCGCTCTCATTGAGATGAACGTCTGCAATAACCTAACCGATATAGAATAGGATAAGATAAATGTTATGTAATTAGGTAATGGTAGAGGCCTGTATGTCTGAGCGGAAAACGCCTCGAACCCCCGATCTGGAAGCCCGGGGTTCAAGCCTTGCCCAGCGAATTGTTTCCTAATACACAAAGAACTTTGCTCCACTTTGTCATCACTTAGGTGAACAAATGGATACAAAAACAAAAAAACAAACCTGCAACGTAACGTTTTGCAGAAAAAGGACATGCAGAATACCTCTTGCAAAAGGGAGGGGCGGGGGGGGGGGGGGGGGT